TTGGGTTTCCCAATCATTATAAAATTTTAACTCTAGTTCCAACCTTTCTATTTGGGAAGCATTTAATTTATCCCTTTCTTCTTTTAATTTCCTTATTAAATTTTCTTTTAATCCTTTATGATGCTTCACGAATTCTTCTTCGCTATATAGAGCATTTTTTCCGCTGGTCCAAAGTATTATATCAGTTTCTTTACCACCGATTTCTTGGGCAATTTGGTCAAAAATTCCTTCATTCATTTCTAATTTATTTAAACCTTTGTCTTGATAATCATGTTCTATTTTTACTTCTTTTTCCGTTACTTCTTGGTGGCATTTATCACAAAGGAAATATTCGTAAATATTGGACTGTTGCCCGCCTTTTTGGCGAACAAATTCACTGTGGCAAGATTGATATTTTTCTCAATATTCACGGGCTAACTTTTCCAAATTGGGAATATTTTTTTCTAGTTCGCAACGCTCTTGAAAAATCAAATTAAGTTCCTGTCGCAGTTCGCTCGAAATATTTTTAGATAAAAACTTTTGGATAATTTCCTTTTGGTAAGCAATATTTTCTTTTATCCGCTCTATTTCTTTCTCTGTTTTATTTTCGCCGGTGATAGCGTCGCTAAAATCCGGTATTGTTGAAAAACTTCTTTCCCTAGTGTTTGCTAAACCGCAAGCATCACATTTTAGTGACCGCCTATAAAGACAAGCGTCACAAGCGTGAGGTCAAGCATAACCTTCTTGCTTTTTAATTTGGTTTGGACAATCGTAAAAACCGCATTTTCTTGTCTTGCTTTCCATAATATTAAATTTTTATGCTATTTTATTTTTCATTACTGAATATTATTTATGGCAATTGCATATCCGTTTTAAAAATTTTTCCCAGTGAGGTAAATTTACAGGTTATATTCTTTTCTTTGTAATTTTTTCTTGACCTCTTTGGCTTTAACCAAGGCTTTTACTTGGAATTTTTTTAGACTTTGGGCTAAGGCGATTTCCACCTTAGCTCAGCCTCTTTGGTTAATAAAAATTTGTAACGGAATTAAATTATAGTGTTTGGTTTTCATTTGAGCAATTAAAGAATTGATTTCCGACCGTTTAAGCAATAATTTACGAGGTTTTTGGGGAGGGCTCTGGGAAAACAAGTTAGCATAACGATAAGCAGAAATCGAAAGTTTATAAATGTATAACTCATTTTTATGAGGTAAAACATAGGCCTCATTAATCGCAACTTGGTGATTACGAATAGCCTTAATTTCTGAACCCGCTAAAACTAATCCGGCGGTCTTTCTAGCAATTATTTGGAATTTCCGAGTATTTTTTAATTGAGTGATAGTTTTCATGTCGCTTTTTTAATTTTTATTGGTTAAAATAATACATTTTTCGCTAAATATGCTTAATTTATTCCAATTTTAGGCTTTTTGACCAGTAAATTATCTTTCAATTACTAGTTCAAAGAAAATAAATAGCAGTTAATTATAATTCTCTTTCTAGCTTCTCTACTTGCTTGCGTAATTGCTCAACTTGTTGACTGACCTGGAAGTAATTATAAACTCCCCATAAAGCATCAACTATTCCTCATAAGCCAAAAACTAAGGATAGATAAAAAACATACTTAAAATTAGGATTGCGTTGATACATGGCTTCAATTTCTTCTTTCAAAAAAAATTTATCAATGGCTCAATAAGCCAAAAAAACCCCAAGTCTAAATAATCCATTTCAAATGGAGGATAAAGCGTTGGATCTAACCCTTAAAGTGTCTTTTCAGGCTTCGCGAGTTTTAATATAGTGGATTATTAACTGATTATTCATATGAGAAATTTTAAACGACATGCTGTAAATAAAGGTTTGTTAATTATTAACTTGCTTGCTTACTTTAAATTTGCAACAAGTGGATTTTATAAAACATAGGTCACGAGGCCTTTCTACTGGTCGAGTTCCTTTTTTTGGTCAATAACCCTATTATTCATGGCTTTTTTAAAAACTTTTTAGTAGGCTATGCTTATCGCTTTGCTAAAAAGCAAAATTTAACTGCTGATTGCCCCTTTAAGTTTGAGGAGCTTTTATTAAAAACCTATTCAAAAGAGATTAGAAAAATGATTATTAATTCGGAGGAATATCCTAGTTTAGAAAAGTGTTGAAAAATTATTATTGGTGTTTATTAGGTTTTTTTATTTTTGTTGATTTTCATATTTAGTTGATTTATTTATAGATTTTTCTTTAAAAACAAAGTAAAAAATAAGAAATTTAAACCTAAACATCCCCTAAAAACTATTCCTAAATACACCAAAATGAACTTTATTTGTCAAAATATTATAAAAATCCGTGAAATAAAAGAAAAAAACTAAATAAGGACAAAAACTATGAAAAACAATCAACCAAAAAAAGCTTTTAAAAAATATCTCCAAGAAATAAAAAGTCCTAATTACCAAGGAGGTTCTTGGACTTTGCCCGAAAATCCTACTCCCTTAGAACAAGCCAAATATGAGATTTGCCAAAAAGTAATCAGACACAAAAGAAACAGTAAATTAACTACTGAAAAACTAGCTCAAAAAATCCAATTAAGCAAAGCGGAAACGGAGGATATTCTTTATTGTCGAATTGATTATTTTACCCTCGTCAAGTAAAAATAGCAGTATGACTAAATATAATCTAGAAGATTTTAAAATTTGACTAGAAATCAACAAAGCAAACAATTCCGGAATGGAAGAACACTGAAAATATTTTTTAGACTGATACAAAGAAAACCTTGACATATGAGAAGCGACAGTAGAAAGAGGGATGAGGTCGGCTGGTTATGAGCATATTAAGTTTGAAAAATGAACCGACTATGAAAAAGAGAAGTTGATTCCAGCCAAAAAAGATCAATAATTACAAGTTCTGATCATTTACGGCAAAGTTGTAGCTATACTCCTATCGTTCAACGAACTGAAGAAGAGAAAGAATTAAGAGAAGAGATAAGGCAGTTAAAATCTGATATTCAGCGAGAAAAAAATAAAAACCAAGAGAACCAAGAGAAAATAACTAAACTGGAACAAGAAATTATAAATTTAAAT